CCCGTGGCGTGCCCTCCAGCCACGCTGGTGGCCATGGTGGTGCGCCGGCGCAGGGCGGAGCTGCTCGCGAGGTCGGGGAACGCGGCGGCGTCCTCGAGGCTTGCGCGAAGTGGGAGCGCCCCGTGGGCAGGGGTCTGTCAAGGGGCCCAGGGAGACACAAGTACGCCGACTCTGCCGGCGCGTGTGAGGGAGGGGTCTGGGTCGTCCATCGTCCCGTCGTCCCCGAGTGGTCCTCGGAGAGGATCTTTCGCTTCGTTTCCCCCTCGATTCCGTAATTAGATCGAAGGGTTCCCCTTCGGAGGGACCGGGGTCCCGGTGAGGTCCAGGGGGGGCCCCAGGGAGGGTCCCAGGGGAGATCCCGAGCCAGATTAACTATACACCTCCCCCCTCTTCTGGTCGCTATCGCAGTCGTAAGCTGATCGAAGGGAGACCCCTTCCATTTTGAATCCCTTCCCCACCCCCCGGGGGGGCGGGGGACCAGGGACCCGGGGTTGTCCTGGTGAGGTCCGGGGGGGGGGTCCCAGGGAGGGGCCAGGTCAGATTACACCTTCTTGTCGCAGTCGTACTCGATAAATCGAAGGAAGCCCCTTCCCTCTGATCCCTTCTACACTCGCGCGGGGGACCATCCTAGGGAGGTCCCAGGCGAGTCACAGGAACGGTCCCGGGGGCGGTCCCCAGTCAGATTACACCACCTCCCTCTGGTCGCAATCGCAGTCGTAGTGAGATCGAAGGGAAGCCCCTTCCCTCGCGCGGGGGACCATCCTGGGGAGGTCCCAGGGGAGTCTCGGGGGCGGTCCCAGGTCAGAATGCACCACCTCCCTCTGGTCGCCATCGCAGTCGTAGTTAGATCGAAGGGAAGCCCCTTCCCTGTGATCCCTTCCCCACCCAGGGGGGGGGGGGGGCAGGGCAGGGCCTCGAGGAGGTCCCAGGGGGGTCCTGGGAAGGGCCCCAGGGGGCGGGGGGGCCTGGCCAGATTACACCTTCCCCCCCTTCTGGTCGCAATCGCAGTCGCAGTTGGATCGAGGGGAAGCCCCTTCCTTTGATCCCTTCCCCACGGGGGGAGGACCACCCTGACCTTCCAGAGAGCTATTTTTTAGCACTGGAGACCTAAAAACCTAAAAAACGAGACGAAACAGCCTAAAACCAAGACGTAGAATAGCTCTGGGATAGGTTTTTAGGTCGCGTTCTATTTTTTAGCCCTCCTGGAAGGTCAGGGTACACCGCCCCCTTTTTCTGGTCGTAATCGCCTGTGTTAGATCGAAAAGGAACCCCTTCCCTTTGACCTTTCCCCGCCCGACCTTGCCGCCCCACGACACTCCCGGGAGGCCTCCGAGAGGCTCCCACAAAACTGCAGGAGGCCCCCAAGAAGCCCCCAGGAAGCCCCAAGACGCCCCCAAAAGGCGCCCAAGAGGCCCGAAGGTCTCCCAGAATACCGCTCGTTGCACGCTCGGAAAGTTCTTGGGAGCCTTCCAACCTTCCCGAACACATCCGAACATTTTCTGCATCATGAGGCTCATCTTCCAGGGTCGGCAGCACCGGCCGTAAGGCCTCTCCAATAAACAAACACGAATACCAAGATTCCCGATATGTGTCCACATGTTATGCTATTTCGCCTTCCCCTACATGTCGTAGATTCTGCAAGAAGCGACTGGGAATATACGCTTATTTGTGTATGTGTCCACGGTGACCCTGGGCATGTCCGCCACGTTTGAAATTAATTGTAACGATGGTAGTTGGAATCCTAAAGTTTCTTCTCAGGAACGTATTAGGCATCCTCGAGATAGAGGGAAACCTTCAGAATTCCTCGGGGACTGCTCTGGTCATGCGACACACTATGCACTGCAAACGGATAGCGTGCCGCTCCGCTCCTCAGGGCGGGAGGCCGGGAAAGGCTTGTGACGTAGATCTTGCCGTCGCTCGGACGTCCATTCCCCGTGCATGTTTCGGTGTCGTGCGTGTTTTTTTTGCTCGATGGTCCAGGATGGTCCTCGATGGTTTTCGCCGAGAAAAAGTGCACACGTCCGAGCGATGCCAAGGTGGCGTAGACAGCGCGTCGCACCCAAGCATGGTGGGCCAGACCCAGCGATGGGAGCCCTGAGGGAACCTTATGGGGTTATTATGACGAGCCTCACGCGTAGATGTGAGACAAAACAGCTTGGCACATGGCGATGTCAATCACACACTGCGGCGACTGCTCCACAACATGCCTGGCTACTCTCAGATATGCTATAAAGCCACATGCTCCACAAATTCATATGCGGTGCGAGCCAGGTTATGCTGGCAAACTTGGTAGTACAGAAATAGTCGGTGGATCGAAACACTACGTATCGAAGTAGAGCGCGGAGCCAGAGGGAGGGAGGAGGGGGAGGAGGAGGAGGAGGAGAAGGAAGAGCCAGGAGAAGGAGGAGGAGGAGGAGGAGGAGGAGGAGGAGGAGGAGCCAGGAGGAGGAGCCAGGAGGAGGAGCAGGGGAAGGGGGGAGAAGGGGGAGAGAATGGTGAGAGAAGGGGGAGAAGGGGGAGGAGGAAGAGGAGGAAGAGGAGGAGGAGGAGGGAGGAGAAGAGGAGGAAGGAGAGGGAGGGAGGAGGGGGTGGAGAGGAACGGAGGGCGGGAGGCAAGGCGGCGGAAGTCGCTCTCCCCGTGGCGGGGTCCTCCCGGCCCTCCCGGCCCGTGGGCGAGCCCGCGCAGGGCGAGAGCGCCTCGAGGTCGATGTCGCGGGTGAACGGCACGTCGCAGAGGGACACGAAGCCAGAGGAGGAGGCCTCCGACGGCGCGGGCGTCTGGACGCCGGAGTCTGCCTGCGGGGGTCTGGAGAGGAGGAGGAGGAGGAGGAGGAGGAGGAGGAGGAGGAGGAGGAGGAGGAGGAGGAGGACCCAGAGCCCCTCGCGTTGTGTCTCGGCGTTTCGCTGTTTTCGGGAGGCTTTTCGCTATTTTCGGTCTCTGGGGGCCCTCGCTGGGCCCTCGGACCGTCAAAGAACGACTCGAAATAAAAAACCGGTCCCGAGAAAGGAGTCGAGACCTCTGGGGGTCGACGTTGGGAAAAAATCATGAGGTCGGGGGTCTCGGTCCCTCCCTCCCTCTGCCCTCCTGGTGTGTATGCTCCTTTGTCGTCCTGACCCTCCTCACTATCCGTCCGTTCCTTATCCTTATCCTCCTCCTCCTCCTCCTCCTCCTCCTCCTCCTCCTCCTCCTCCTCCTCCTCCTCCCTCCCTCCCTCCCTCCCTCCCTCCCTCCCTCCTCCCTCCCCCTCCCTCCCTCCCTCCTCCTCCAGGGCGCGCTTGGGAAACACGTGGGCGGGTCGGCCCTCGTCGTCTCGGCCGCGAGCGAAAGGGGCCAGGGCTCCTGAAGCGGGGTCGGGCCCCTCAGAGGCGCGCGCCGCTCCAGCACCTCCTTAGAGGAGGAGGAGGACGAGGAGGAGGAGGAGGAGGAGGAGGAGGAGGAGGAGCAGAAGGAGGAGGAGGAGGAGGAGGAGGAGGAGGAGGAGGAGGAGGAGAAGCGAGGAGCGAGGATCAAGGAGGAGGAGGAGGAGGAGGAGCAGGAGGAAGGAGGGGAAAACAGGCGGCCATGTTAGTTCCCTGGTTGTCCGTTTCCGGACTTGGCGGGGCTCCCCGAGGATGTTGAGGGCGGATGGAGAAGACGAGGAACGAAGGAGCTGGCAGGCGGGAGGATGGAGGAGGGGAGCGGCAGGAGCGAAGAGGGGGTGCAAAGGAAGATTGGGAGTGAAGCAGGTGGGGAGCTTCGAAAAGGGGCTGAGGTGACTCTTTGGAAGGGCTCATGTGTTTAGCTTGTGTGTCCGGGGCGTCTCTGGTCACCTCGGGGCGGTCTTGGGCAGTCATTGGGCCTGTTGGGGGTCTAAATCATATTTTGCATGCCACCATGCGAGCCACTGGCGGAGGACAGGCGTGCATGACTTGCGAGAGAGAGAGAGAGAACAGCAAAACAGATGATGCCTATGGGGCGCATTGTGTTGGTTCCCGTGTTGTCCGTTTGACGTTGTGAAGCTTTGTCTGGGCGTCTGCGGCCGTCCTGGAGGCCTCTTGGGCAATCTGGAGGCCCTCTTGGGGACCCCTGGGAGCGTCCTGGGAGCCTTTTTCGGGCTTCTCGGGGCCTCCTGGGGGGGCGATCTGGGAGCTTCTTGGGGGCTCTCGGGCGCCTCTTGGGGCCTCCTGGGGGGCTCTTTGGGCGGGGAGCTCGGACAGTCGGTCTTGTTTCCCCCTCGGGGGCCTCTCTTGAGGACTTGGAGGCTTCCGCGGCCGTCTGGGGAGCGTCTTGGGCTGTCTTGGGCCGTCTGGGCGGTCTCTTGGGGGGCTCTGAGGCCGTCTTGGGACGATCTTTGGGACATCTTGGGGTGCCTTGGGGCGTCGGAAGCCGACAAAGCGAGAACGCGAAAAACCGTCAAAAACGGATGGAAAAGCTACAATTGTGCGTTTGAACTTGAATTCTCTGTTAGGAGACTCTTGTCTCTGTGGAGTCTCTTGTGGGGCCTCTTGAAGGCCTCCTGAGGCGTCTTGGGGGCTTCCTGGCCGTCCGAAGGCCATCTTCGACGGCCTGGATCGACCTGTTGGCGACTCGTGGCTCCCTTGGACCATCTTGCGGACCATCTTGGGGCCGCCCGTGCCGCCCGCAAGCGCGTCTGCAAAACTGGAGCCGGCTTCCGCCGGCTTCCGCCGGCGTTCCGCCCGTGCCCGGGGGGGGGCGGGGGGGTACCCGCCCACACACACCCGGGGGATACTAAACGGGAACCCCTTCTCAGGTCGGGGAAAGACCCTCGGCGAGGGAACGGTCTTTCATCTAGCCTCAGCACCGTTTCAGTCCGCAGCGATGGCAATCCAGCTCGACGGGCATCGCTACATTGGCCCAAGTCGAACTCAGGGCATAGTAGCATAGGCCCTGTGCACTGTAGGCCTTCGGTAAGGGCCGCACCTGCTCGTTGGGATGGTCAGGACGGACATGCGTTGGGGGGGCGGGGAGGGGAGGGTCATCAGTGACACAACCAGGCACTGCAGCATACTCTTCAACCTCTGCTGCTCCCAGCTATCTTGCTTTTCTAGTTCCTCCCAGACGCGCGCTGCTGCAGTGCCAGGGCCTAACGTTTATGTGATTGCTCCAGTCTGAACATGACGCATTGTTCCAGCACCACGGAAACGCAACAGCTTAGTCGCTCATGTTTACCACATGTAAAAAAGCAGGGGGGGGGGGCGTGAGGACCGTGAGGGCCGTTGGGGCCGTGAGGACCGTGAGAGCCATGGAGGGCCGTGAGGGCCGTTAAGGCCATGGAGGGCCGTGAGGGTTGCGAGGGCCGTGAGGACCACGAGGGCCGTGAGGACCGTGAGGGCCGCGAGACCCGTGAGGACCGTAAGGGGGCTGCCCCCTTCTGGCCCTGCCCCCCTCTGCGCGCCGCCGTTGGGCCGCGCTCGCGGCCCTCCCCGGGGCCTCCTCCTCGGGCGCCCCCCCGAGCATGCGCGAGAACAGGGTGCGCTTGCCGGCCTCGTGGTCGTCGGTCGGCCACCTGGAGGGCTGCACGCAAGACGGCACAGCGACCTTGCGCGGCGGCTTGCGCGGGCCGCCAGCGCGGCACGCTGCGCGGAAGACGAGGGCGCTCACGCGCGGCCTTACGCGGGGAGCTGACGCGCGAACGTCGGCGCAGTCCAACCCGTGCTTCCCAAGCGTCATGTGGTGTTGGGTCCTCGTTTTCAAGAGACAGCGCTCCCGCACACCCCTCACACGCTTCGAGGCCCCAGAAGGAGCTCCAGCGAAGGCGTCGATGCCTCATTTCAGTACGCCCTTCACACCTTTCGTGGCCCCGAAGGGAGCTCCAGCGAAGGCCCAAATGGCAGGGTCCGCATAGCGTCGGTGCCCCATTTCGGCACACCTCTCATACGTTTCGTGGCCCCATAGTGAGCTCCAGCTAAAGCCCAAATGCGAGGGTCCGCATGGCGTCGGCTCCTCATTTAGGCACACCCATCATCAGTTTCTTGACCCTACAGGGAGCTCCAGCGAAAGCCCAAATACCAGGTTCCGCACGGCGTCAGTTCTTCACTTGGGCACACTCCTCATACGCCTCATGGCCCCATAGGAAGCTCCAGCTAAGGCCCAAATGTTAGTGTCCGCGTGGCGTCGGTGCTGTTCACATGCGTCCCCACCTTCGGCACACCCCTCGCACGTCACGTGGCCCCATGGGGAGCTCCACCGAAGGCCAAAGTGGTGCCGTTCGCATGCGTCCCCGCTACCAATTTCGCCACACCCCTCACACGCTTCGTGGCCCCATAAAGGCCATAGGGAGCTCCACCAACGGCGCCAGTGCCAGCGCCCGCAAGGCAGCACCTCCCCATTTCGGCACACCCCTCACACGGTGTTTGGCCCCATAGGGACTTCCCCTTTCTTCGTCCCACCTGCCTTGCGGTATGCACGCCTGCATGTGTCGCCGCGCTGTTTGTTCTTGACGGGCCCGAGTGGACGACGCCGACACCACGGCAAACCCACGGCAAACCCTGCGCCCCACGCCCCAAGCAGACGAGGCCGCCACACGGCAAACCCCACGGCGAGCCCACAGCGCCCGAGTCGGCGTTTGCCCTGGTGGCCGAGGCGCCCTCCCCAAAACGCAAAGCCGCGCGTCGGAACAAACGGCGCGGCGACATATGCTTGGGTCCGTCGCCAGGACCATTTGCGTCGCTCACCTGGAGAGGGGCAACAGGACGGGCGGGGCCCGACGGGCACACCGTTCATGCCGCTCGCGCTCCTGGTGTGCTGCAGCAGGTGCGGATAGCCCAGAGGGGGAGAAATACACGTCACTGGCGAAGACGTCGGCTGGTCTCCGTCGTCTTCGGGACGCGGCGGCTGGCAGTTCAGGGGAACCCGCGCTGCTCTTGGGGCAAGTCTGGGCGACGCTCGAGAGCGAACACGGCTCATGCCCCCCACCCCCCCCTGGGTTGCCCGTCCCTGTTGCTGCCCCCGAGCTCACTCCCCAACTCCCCCCCCCCAGCCTTGCCCCAGGACGGCGCATCAAGAGGAAGCCGAGGACGGCCTCGAGAACGCTCCAAGACGGCCCGCGAGGCCCCCAAAGGCCGAAGGCGGCCGGCTCCTCCGCCGAGCCGCCCTCGGGAGAGCGCGGGGGAACCGGCGCGCCGCCGACGGCCCTGCCCCGCCCCCATCCTTCCTCCCCTCCTCTCTCCCTTCCTCACTTCCGATCCCTCGCCCCTCGCATGTGTTCCTGGAGCTTGCTTTTCGTCATCCGCCGCCCAGCGGCTAATCTGTGTGCAGTGTGTCGCGTTTGTCCATGTCTCTCGGTCTGAATTCCAAGTGGTTTCTTGCCGATGCGCCGTCCAAGCACGGCTTCTTGCGTGCGCGCGTGCGTGCCCAGACGGGCCTCCTCCCCCCCCGCAGACCCTCCCCCGAGCCTCCTCGAGACGGCAGCGGGGTCACCCTGCGCCGAGTCGGCGTTGTCCCCGCCGCTGCTGGTCAGGACGCTGCCGCTGCACTCCTTCTCGGCCGTCCCGGCGTTCTTGTTCACCCACACCTCAAGGGCTCCCAACTTCGCGCTTCGCGCTGCGCGAAGCGCGAAGTGCGAATAACTTCGCGCTCTCGCGCCGCCTCCCAGGGTAGAAGGGGAGGATGAGGAGGAATCGGAGCCGAACCGCGAAGCGCGAAGCGCGAATAACTTCGCGCACTCGAGGGCGCCCTTGACACCTCGCAAGGGAGGGCGGTCGGGAACTGTTGCTCAGCGTGCCGCCGCGGCGGCCCCGGCGACACGCTGCAGCGTGTCGCTGCACTCCGCAGGGCGGGAGGCTCGGAAAGGCTCGGGACGTGGACGGCTGGGGATTGGGACGTGGACGGCGTGTCGCGCCCAAGCGCGGTGGGCCAGAACTGGCAGAGCGACGCGCTATCCAAGAGCTCCCGACCGTAGGCTCTGCCCATCGCCCTCGCCACCAATCCGATCTCAAGCGGGCGGAGAGCACAGGATGGGTGGCGAGGTTCCTCTCACCTCGCCATCACTCGAACGTCCATTCCCCGTTCATTTGTCGGCTTCGTGCGTGAAATTTCTCGCAGGATGACCCAAAAGGCTCCATCATCATCACCATCATCATTATCATTATCATTATCATTATCATCATCATCATCATCATCATCATCATCATCATCATCATCATCATCATCATCATCATCATCATCATCATCATCATCATCATCAATCATCATCATCATCTCATCATCACATCATCAGCAGCAGCATCATCACCACTGTCTCATCATCATCATCATCATCATCATCATCATCAACCATCATCATCATCATCATCATCATCATCAGCATCATCAGCATCATCATCATCATCATCAAGAACAACAGCAGCATCACCATCATCATCCTCATCATCATCATCATCAGCATCATCATCATCAGCATCATCATCATCAGCAGCAGCATCATCATCAGCAGAATCAGCATCAACATCAGCAGCATCATCATCCTCATCCGTATCCTCATCATCATCATCAGCAGCAGCAGCATCAGCATCCTCATAATAATCAGCATAATCCTCATCCTCATCCTCATGATCATCATCATCATCATCATCATCATCATCATCATCATCATCATCAGCATCATCATCATCAGCATCATCATCAGCAGCAGAATCAGCACCATCAGCATCATTATCAGAATCGTCATCATCATCAGAATCACCATCATCATACTCATTATCATCATCATCATCTTCATCACCATCATCAGCATCATCGTCATCATTTGCATCGTCATCATCATCATCATCATCATCATCATCGTCATCATCATCATCATCATCATCATCATCATCATCATCATTAGCATCATCATTATCATCATCATTATCATTACCACCACCACCATCATCAGCAGCAGCATCACCATCATTAGAATAATGATAACAAATAGAAGGATACTACAACAAAACGAATAAGCATGATAGAAACAATAATAGCAATACAAAAAAGGTAACAACGAAAATGAGAACAGTAATAAGGATAACCATAATCATACTCAGAATCATAATCAGAATCAGAATCATCATCGGCATCCGCATCGTCAGCATCATCATCAGCATCATCATCAGCAGCAGCATTGGAATAGTAATGATCATCAGCAGCACTATCAGCATAACAAGCATCATCGTCTGCATCATCATCATCAGTTCAGCCTCATCCTCATCAGCATCATCATGAGCATCAGCATCATCATCATCATCATCATCATCATCATCATCATCATCATCGTCATCAGCATCACCACCACAATCAGCATCATCAGCATCAGCATGATCAGCATCATCATCATCATTGGCATCGTCGTCGTGGTCATCCTCATCGTCGTCGTCATCATGGTCATCGTCAGCATCATCATCATCATCAGCATCATCATCATCATCATCAGCAGCAGCAGCAGCATCAGTATCAGCATCATCATCAACAGCAGCAGCATCATAATCAGCATCAGCATCAACATCATCATCATCATCAGCATCAGCAGCAGCAGCATCACCGTCATCGCCACGCATGTTGGCACACCTCTCACACGCTTCGTGGTTCCATAGGAGCTCTACCGAAAGCCCCAGTGGTGCTGTTCACATTCGTTCCCACCTTCGATACACCCCTCACACGTTTCGTGGCCCCATGGGGAGCTCCAACGAAGGCCCAACTGGTGCCGTTCGCACGCTTCCCCGCTACGCATGTCGGCACACCACTCACACGCTTCGTGGCCCCATAAGGAGCTCCACCCAAAGCCCCAATAGTGCCGCTCGCATGCGTCCCCGCCACCCCTGTCGGCACGCCCCTGATACGCGTCGTGGCTCCATTTGGATCTCCAACTAAGGCCCAACTGGTGCCGTTCGCATGCGTCCACGCCACACATTTCGGCACACCACTCACACGTCTCGGGGCCCCAGAAGGAGCTCCAAGTAAGGCCCACCTGGTGCCGTTCGCATGCGTCCCCGCCACTCATTTCCGCACACCCCTCACACGCTTCGCAGCCCCATAGGGAGCTCCAACGAAGGCCCCAATGGTGCCGTTCGCACGCGTCCCCGCTACCCATTCCGGCACACCCCTCACACGTCTCGTGGCCCCATCAGGAGCTCCAACGACGGCCCCAACTGGTGCCCCCGCCACCCCTGTCGGCACACCCCTCGCACGCTTCGTGGTTCCATACGGAGACCCAACGAAGGCCCAATTGGTGCCGTTCGCATGCGTCCCCGCCACCCATGGGGAGCTCCAACGAAGGCCCAACTGGTGCCATTTGCATGCGTCCACGCCACACATTTCGGCATACCACTCACACGTCTCGTGACCCCATCAGGAGCTCCAACGACGGCCCCAATGGTGCCGTCTGCATGCGTCCCCGCCACACGTTTCCGCACACCCCTCGCACGCTTCGTAGCCCCATAGGGAGCTCCAACGAAGGTCCCAATGGTGCCGTTCGCATGCACACGTATCACACGCTTCGTGGCCCCATCAGGAGCTCCAACTAAGGCCCAACTGGTGCCCCCGCCACCCCTTTCGGCACACCCCTCACACGTCTCGTGGTCCCAGAAGGAGCTCCCACGAAGGCCACACTGGAGCCGTTCGCAAACGTCCCCGCCACCCATTACGGCACACCCCTCAAACGCTTCGTTGCTCCATAGAGAGCCCCACTCAAGGTCCAAGCGGTGCCGTTCGCATGCGTCCCCGCGCACCCCTCACACACGCTTCGTGGCCCCTTAGGGAGCTCCACCCAAGCCACAAATGGTGCCGTTCGCATGCGTCCCCGCCACCCATGTCAGCACACCCGTCATACGCTTCGTGGCCGCATAGGGAGGGAGCTCCACCGAGAGCGGTACCCACAACGAGGTATTCACAGCTGCATATGGTTGGGTCCTTCGCCTGGATGATTTGCTTGGTCTGGGACACGCTCTCCTCGGTGCTCCCCACTCGGCGGCCGTTTCGAAGCGGTCCAGCGGCGATCGGGTGAGCCGAAGAGGGAGGCCAGGAAGAGGGAGGTTGGCGCATCATGGCACCGAGCATGCGCGCGGGCGTGGGGGGTGGAGGGGCAGGAAGCGCATTGAAGAAAGACAGGGGCCACGAAACCTGGGAGATCTCGTGGCAAAATCCACACGCCGCTCGTCCTCACCCCCCCTTCGGCGCCCAGTGGCACTTCGGGCCATACCCCGAGCCCCCGGCAGCCGCTCGGGACGCTCCAGGCAGCCCCGGGAGGCCCCCGACGGCGCGCAGCTGCCAATTAGAAAACACCCCGAGGCGAGAAGAGCAAAACGAAGGAGGAGGAGGAGGAGGAGGAGGAGGAGGAGGAGGAGGAGGAGGAGGAGGAGGAGGAGGGAGGAGGGAGGAGAGGAGAGGAGGAGGAGGAGGAGGAGGAGGAGGAGGAGGAGGAGGAGGAGGAGGAGGAGGAGGAGGAGGGGGAGGAGGAGGAGGAGGAGGAGGAGGAGGAGGAGGAGGAGGAGGAGGAGGAGGAGGAGGAGGGAGGAGAGGGAGGGAGGAGGGAGGGAGGGAGGGAGGGAGGGAGGGAGGGAGGGAGGGAGGGAGGGAGGGAGGGAGGAGGAGGAGGAGGAGGAGGGGAGCCACAGCCCGAGGCGAGAGAACACCCCACGGCGACCCAGAAGCCGCCCTCGGGGGCGCGCCCTGCCCTCGCCTCCTCGCCTCCCTCCTCGGGACGCCCCCGCGGCGAGGGCCCCCCCCCCCCGAGGAGCGGGCGAGGCCGACGGGGCCTCGGACGAGCTCCCCTCGCTGGAGCCCTGCCCGCGCTGCTCCCTGGTGCTGCCGGCGCCGTCGCTCTTCCCCGGGCCCCAGTGCTCCGACGCGGCCTCCTCGTCGTCGGCGGTGCCGCCCTCCTCGAGGGCGGGGGCAGTGCAGCCACGGAGAGGGCACTGGTTAAGGAGCCGTTGGATACGGTCGACCCGTATCAGAAGGACGCGCGAGAAGGATGCGAGGGCCTGGGAAGGCCATGTCGACGCCCTGCGAGCAGGGCGCGGCCAGCGACAGCGGCCGAGGACAGATAAGGAACCCTCCAGGGTCTGAAGCCTTCGGTGGCAGGGAGCCTCCCATGCCATCTTGTCTGATCTTGCGAATCGACGCTAGTCGATGCTAAACCGACGCTAATCGACGCTAAATCGACGCTAATCGACGCTAAACCGGCGCTTTCTCATCAACTCCCAGACATTCACCGATGCTAGCTGACGCGAAAGACGGAATTATGAGGGTACACCGGGCTTCCATGATTTACTACCGAAGAAACTCCTGGGCAACATTCCTTCACGAACGCCCCCACCGTACCGCGCTTGCAGCGGCTGGTGTGCGTCGGGCCCTGTAGCCTCCTGCGGAATAATAGTTGGGCCCCCCCCCGACGCACCGAGCCCAAGATGCTTTCCATTTGCTGTGGCCAAGTTTAGATCGGGCATGTCCTCCTACAGGCGGATGTTGGGACAAAAAAAAAAAATGCCAGAACATATTTCAAAATAGACAGACCCAAAAAAACACGAAAAGTCGTCACCTGACTATTTGTTTACCGTTCTTGAATAGCCCTCCTGTAGAAGGGCACGCCCAACCTGGGGCCAAGACCCTGCGCTTGTAGCTTCCCAGGCAGCAAATGGTCCCAAATACAACTTTTGGGAAAGGGGGGGTTCGTGGCCCCTCCCCCAGCCCGCCCTCCTTCGGCGGCAACTCATGGGAGCCTCCCATACCATCTTGTTGGCTCTTGCGAATCGACGGTCATCGACGTTAAATCGACGCTAGTCGACGCTAAATCGACGCTGAATCGACGGTAACCGACGCTCATCGACGCTGACTCGACGCTGATCGACCCTAGCAGACAATAAATCAAACTATCTCAGAGACTCCTAGACGCGAATCGACGCTGACCGACGCTAAAAACAGAATTAAGAAGGTATACCAGCTCTCATGGCTTGCTACCGAACAAGACCCTGCGCGTTTAGCCTTCCAGGCAGAAAACGATCCCAAGTACAAGGTTTAGGAAGGGGGGGGGTCCGTAGCCCCTCCCCCCTCCCCCCCTCCCCAAGACACCCCACCCCCCCTCGCCCGAGCGCGGTGGCGGAATCGCGCGGCGCCGCAACTGGATACAGCTGCCGTGCTTCCATCCATGCCCTGGTCTTCCCGCGCTGCACGCAAAAAATGGCGGGGGGCCCTCGCTGGGCGCCAGGAAGCACTCGGAACGAGAAACCGATCTGGGGGAGAGGGTCGAGGCCTCTGGAGGCCCACGCGTTTCTATTGTTTACGCGTGTGTATGCTTAAGTTGTTCCTGAAAGGGTCATACGAGTAGCAGGAGTACAAATGATGATAGTGACAAGGCGAATACTACTAGCAATGATAGTGATACGAATTGTAAGATGAATAACGAAACAACTTATTACAATACGAATAATGCTCATGATGTGATGATGATGATGGTGGTGGTGATGATGGTGATGATGATGAGTATGATGATGAGTATAATTGTGGTGATGATGGAAATGATGCTCGCAATGATGATAACAATATCAACAACCATAAGAATGATGATGATACTGATGATGCCAAGGGTAAACTGTATGAATACGGTGGCACGAGTAATGATAATACTAACAGCAGAATAACCGCAACACTGTGAATATCAATACTACTGATGATAGTAGTAATACGAAAACTACTATCATCACTACTTATAAGAATGGGAACTATGTGTGATAGAAATCAGAAAACTAAATCGAATATCACGAAGAACAGCAATAGCAACAATAATGAAAACAATAAGCAGCAACAACAACAACAACACCAACAACAACAGCAACAACAACAACAACAATTACTAGCACGTGGGGACACACCGTTCTCACCAGTGCCAGGGTTTTCATAGGAGGCGGGCAATACCCCCACTTTGTGGGGGGGCCGGTTCAAGCTCTACCAAATTTCCAAACGACTCTTCGCCACCACCCACACCCAGCTTCCCGCCCTATGACGTTCGGACACTTCACTTCGTGGCATGCGGACGACCGTGGCTACTATTCAGGGCCCCGCGGCCGACGACGACGGCGTGCGCGCGCGAAGAAAAAACGAATGTGTCCCGCATGGTATTATTTGACAGGGATGATGGCCCTGGCAGGTGCGCAACCGTTGTTGCAGAAGTTCGAAAAAGTTGCTCGCAAAAGCCCGTTTGACAGAAATGTTTAAAAAGTGTTGGGTTTCCTACAAATCCGCAAGAGCGCGCGGGATGAAATTTTGACACTTTTTTTTTGAAAAACCATTGGTTTTTTTGATGTTTTTATGTTGAAATCGTTACGAACACTAAGGTTTTGGAAGGATTTCGTCTTGCGCGCGCGAATGTCCACTTTACCTTATTTTTTGCAAGGGATTCTTGAAGTTTGGTTATGTTAGAACAAGAAATGTCCACTTTAGCTTATTTTTTGCAAGGGAAAACCGGACAACAAAACAACCGGATCCGGACACCCACGTTTTGCCTGAGACTTCCTCACGAAAATGATGAAAATGTGGCTGCGGCCTAGGCGCGGCGGGGGGCCGCGCACCAGGGGTCCCAACAATAATTATTCTTTAGAATAAATAATGTTCAACAAGAACAACAACAACTACTACTACTACTACTACTACTACTACTACTACTACTACTACTACTACTACTACTACTACTACTACTACTACTACTACTACTACTACTACTACTACTACTACTACTACTACTACTACTACTACTACTACTACTACTACTACTACTACTACTACTACTACTACTACTACCTCAACAGCATCAACAACAAGTATACTGATAACACGCATTAAAATACGAATACACATAATAGCAGGCATTCAGATAATAACACTAGCAAAAATAACAGCAACAGTAATAATCACAACAATGATAGCAATAACACTAACAATCGCCAGATCAATAACACTAACAACACTAATAATAAGCATAATCGCCATCACCAGCATCATCATCATCATCATCATCACCAGCATCATCATCGCCATCAGCATCATCTCCAGCATAATTATCATCATAATCAGCATAATAATCAGCATCAGCATCAGCATCATCATCAGCATCATCATCATCACCATCACCATAAGTTCACTTGTGCTTTGCCAGAGAACACTGCGTCGGAGGTCTGGGTAAGGAGCGCCAGATGGGGAACGGAACCACTCTCGGGCCCCAAGGCCACCTGCAATGCATCGGGTGTTGCTAGAAGTGCCCCTGGCCCAAGGTGCCCCCAGGATCTCCAAGGAGACCCCCACGGCCTCCAGAGCACCCCTTACGAGACCCAGAGGGCCCCAGGGGCTCCAGAGTGGACCGAAAAGCTGGGGGCACCTCGGACCAGGGGCACCTCTACCTTTAGCACCTTGAGAGGCATCGAGCCCCTTCCGAACTCCAAGGAAGAAGTAAGGAGGAGGAGAGGCAGGAGGAGGAGGAGGAGGAGAAAGAGGAGGAGGAGGAGGAGGAGGAAGAGGAGGAGGAGGAGGAAGAGGAGGAGGGGGGCCCGAGCTAGGGATTTCAGCGCCTTGGCTGCAGAAGGAGGAGGGCGCGGCACGAGCACAAACTTCCCGAGGAGCGCGCGGACTTTTTGGATCGGCGGTCCTCGATCCTCCTCCTCCTCCTCGATCCTCCTCCTTCTCGACCTCGATCCTCGATCCCCCTCCCCCTCCTCCTCTCGGAGGAGAAAAGACTGCACAACCATAAACTTTCGGAGCCCCTCGCGGATCTCTTGGATCTGCGCTGGGCCCTGCGCCGCCCCTGGCCCGCTCCGCGCGACGGGAAAGGAGGGCCAGCGCCGATCCAAGAAATCCGCGCGGCTCCGAAAGCTTCTGATGCACTTGTTTATCATTAGAGGGGGATGGCGAGGGATAGGGGGGGTCAAGCCAGGTGCGCTCACGCCATATCTGACATCCTACCCCTCTCATCCATCCCCTCCAATTGCGCTGAATTATTTTGTATCCGCGGTGTCTTCGAGGACATCAATCCCCCTAATAACCCCTATCGTGCGATACGCAATAAGAAAGGGGCCAGCTTTGAATAGTCACGGAGGAGGAGCAGGAGCAGGAGGAGGCGGAAGTGCAGGAGGGTAGGAGGGGGGGGGACTCGGGACTGAAGGTAGACCGCGGGGAAGGGCAGGTGTGTATGTGGCTGTCTCCTTGTCCGACGCACTTTCCTCCATGAGCGCCACCGTTGGCACGGTCCACTTGATGCCACCCGCATCCACCGGTTCCACCGTCTCCTCCTCGTCCTCGTCCTGGTCACCCGTGTCCAAGACCGTCGGCATAATCATGACGCTCCCGCGCCGCGAGCCGACGCTGGCGCGCCGGTTCCCCACGCCAGGCGCCATCAGGCTGGTCCGGTGCCCCTCTGCGATGCCCAGGCTCCCCCGGCGGTCCCCGGCCGCACCAGCGCCGAGGCTGGGGCGTCGCAGCCCGGGACCCCCGTAGCCCAGCAGCGGCCCCGCGCCCAGCGACTCCTCCGGCGCCGCCAGCGCCGCCCCCGAGCCTCGCCGGGACCCCGCCAGAGGCGGCACGCCCGCGACGCCCAGGTTCGAGGGGCGGCGGCCGAAGAGCGGGCCGCGGCCCGGCGTCGGCTCCGCCGCCAGGCCGCGCTGCAGGGCCTGCTGGACGTCACTGGCTAGGCCCACCGAGCTCGCACGCCGCGAGCCGTCCAGGTACCTGTCGAAGAGGCCGGCCTGGAAGGAGCCGCGCCGCGACGGGTCCATCTCGCAGGAGCCGTGGAGGGAGACGCGCAGGGTGAGGTCCACGAAGATCACCGGGTTCCCGTCCTCGTCTTCGCCCACGGTCCTTGCCAGTCCGCCCCACGGCGAGCCGGCGGCGCTGTCAGCTACGGAGGCTCGGCGGGACCCTGGCGCCCCAGGGACGGCGAGGCCATCGGGCGCGTGCCTCTTGTCCGACCAGGACTCATTCGCCGCGCGGTACAGCGCCCTGCCGCCGCGCACCATCACCGTGCCGGCGTCCGCGGCACTGCTGCTGCCACGGCGGGCGTTCTCCTGCACAACGAGGTACCTGTCCTTGTCCATGCTGGCGCCAGCGAGCGGTGCGCCGATGCCGGAATCCTGGGCCAGCTCGCTCACCCGGCGCCGCATTGCCGCCGTCACGCTCCCGCGGTGGCCATGCTGCCCTTCCGTGCCGGCGGCCATGCTGCCCCTGCGCGAGAACCTGCCCTCCACGCCGAGATCGCCGAGCGTCAGGGGCATGCTGTCAAAGCCCGACACGGACACGCGCCGGGAGCCCATGGCGGAGAGCCTCCGCTTCACCTCGTCTACGTAGTGCCCGCCCTGCTCGCTGCTCGGGGTGACCAGGATCCGCGGCGCCGAGAGGCCGACGGTGCTCGCCTCGTCAGCGCAGGCGGCGCCCGCCTCCCCAAAAGCAGTGATGGTGATCCTCGGAGCGATGAGCACTGGCGCCACCTGGATCGGCACCTCCGCCTGTGGGAACAAGGAAAAGCGACACTACCAACACCACCACCAGGGACCACCAGCGGGAGGAGCCGGGGGGGGTCCCCCTGGTGGCGTGGTCCCACCCTACGGCAGGTTCGCGTCGCGATGACGTCGGCGACAGTCTTTGACACCCCGTGGATCGTTCAACCATACACGATCGCGGCTTCCAGGTAACGCGGGGAGTTCGCTATCGAGACATCCCCTATCCCCAGCTCGGGGAGGCATCGTGGACCTCCTCGCGGTGGTGGTGGTGGTGGTGGTGGTGGTGGTGGTGGTGGTGGTGGTGGTGGTGGTGGTGGTGGTGGTGGTGGTGGTGGTGGTGGTGGTGGTGGTGGTGGTGGTGGTGGTGGTGGTGGTGGTGGTGGTGGTGGTGGTGGTGGTGGTGGTGGTGGTGGTGGTGGTGGTGGTGGTGGTGGTGGTGGTGGTGGTGGTGGTGGTGGTGGAGGTGGTGGTGGTGGTGGTGGTGGTGGCGGTGGTGGTGGTGGTGGTGGTGGTGGTGGCGGTGTCGCGTCTCCTTCCCCCGACGCCTGCGCCTCCGCGCGCCAAGGCTCTGGCACGGGAAGCAACGCGGGCAGCGGCAGCAGAGCGCGCGGCTCTGAGCCGCCCAGGGGGCTGGTCGGAGGAGGGCCCGCCGAGACGACGGCGGCTGTCCCTCAAAACGGGCGAAGAGCGGCATAAAGGGCTCCCGCACCCCTCCTTCGGCGGGCGAAGAACGGTATAAGATAAAATGTCCGCCGTCGGGGACACCAACCCCTGGGCGGCTGGAAAGTATATACCCCTACGGTGCCACCGCAAGGGTACGTAGAAACTTTCCAGCCGCCCTGGGACAGGCGCCCCCGACCGCGAAAAAGCTTATTTTACACCGTTCTTCGCCCGTTAACTCCTGGGGTCCACCCCGGCCTGTTCCCTGAGAACCGACGTTGCGAAGAAATTGCAACATCGCAAAAATCACGACCAGAGCCCCGGACCCCCTCTTTCTGGGCCATGCATTTCGAGCGGGATCGATATGCGGGGGTCCCGGGGCCCGCGCCCATTGGGAAAAAATTGCATCGCAGAAAATCACGACCGGAGCCCCGGACCCCATCTTTCTGCGCCACTTTTTCGAGCCAGATCGATCTGCGAGGGTCCCCGGGCCCGAAGACGCCCACGGTGAAAAAGCTGCAGCGCCAGGATCTCAGGGTCGCTCGAGGCGGGCCCAGCCCTGGCGCTACGAGACGCCCCAGGAGGCCCAGCAAGGACGGAAAACGCCAGAGAGTCGAGGGTTGCTAAAGGTGCCCCTAGCCTTAGGTCGGGCATGTCCTCCAACAGGCGGATTATGTAAGGAAAAATCAAGCGCAATAAGACTTAGTATCATTATGAATATGATTATTAAATGCTCATCGTGTTTTGTGTATTAGTATGTTTCGTAATCGTATTAGCAGTAGTAGTAGTAACTAGTACTAGTACTAGTACTAGTACTAGTACTAGTACTAGTACTAGTAGTAGTAGTAGTAGTAGTAGTAGTAGTAGTAGTAGTAGTAGTAGTAATAGTAGTAGTAGTAGTAGTCGTAGTAGTAGTAGTAGTAATAGTAGTAGTAGTAGTAGTAGTAGTAGTAGTAGTAGTAGTAGTAGTAGTAGTAGTAGTAGTAGAGTAGTAGTAGTCGTGTGTAGTAGTAGACGTAGTAGTAGTAGTAGTAGTAGTTTAAGTAGTAGTAGTAGTTAGTTTACTAGTCAGTAATAGTAGTACTAGTTCGTACTAGTAGTATAGTAGTTACTAGTTAGTTATCGTAATTCTTAGTCGTCGGTATTTGTAGTAGTGTTAGTAGTAGTAGTAGTAGTAGTAGTAGAGTAGTAGTACAGTAGTACTAGTTTAGTACAGTAGTACTGTTTAGTACTAGTAGTACGAGTAGTAGTAGTAGTCGTAGGAGTAGTAGTAGTAGTAGTCGTTAGTAGTAGTAATAGTTAAGTAGTGTAGTAGTATTCGTCGTAGTAGTAGTAGAGTAGTAGGAACGTAAACAAAGTAGTAGTAGTAGTAGTAGTAGTAGTAGTTAGTGTGAGTAGTAGTCGTAGTAGTAGTATTAGTAGTAGTGGTGGTAGGAAATAGTAGAGGAGTAAGTAGTAGTAGTAGTCAGTAGTAGTTAGCAGGTAGTAGTAGAGTAGCAGTGGAAGTAGATAGGAAGTAGTAGTAGTGTAGTAATAGTGGTAGTAGTAGTAGTAGCGTCGTAGTAGTAGAGTGTAGTCGTAGTAGAGTAGAGTAGTTGGTAGTAATAGAAGTCGTAGTAGTAGTAGTAGTAGTAATAGAAGTCGTAGTAGTAGTAGTAGTAGTAGTAGTAGTTATAGTAGTAGTAGTAGTAGTAATAGTAGTAGTAGTAGCCGTAGTAGTAGTAGTAGTAGTAGTAGTAGTAGTAATAGTAGTAGTAGTAGTAGTAGTAGTAACAGCAGTAGTAGTAGTAGTAGTCGTAATAGCAGTAGTAATAGCATCAGTAGTGGTAGTGGTAGTAGTAGTAGTAGTAGTAGTTGTAGTAGTAGTAGTAGTAGTAGTAGTAGTAGTAGTAGTAGTAGTAGTAGTAGTAGTGGTCGTGGTAGTATGAGTATAAGTATGAGTCGTACGAGTAGTACGAATATTAATACTAGTAGTATCAAGAATCAGCATACGATTGCGATTAATCATGTTACTGCTAATAGACTTACTAGTTTTACGAGTCGCAGTAACAGTAGTAGAAATAATAGTAATTAAAGTATTATAAGAAATATAATGTTCAACATATGTATATATACCTACATACATACAGACAGACATGCATGCATACATACATGCCCCTATATATATATATATTAGATATTGGATGCATGTATGTGTATATGTTCTGAAATAATCAAGACTAGTCAAAAAATCGTCCCACGACCTGCTCTATCATTTTTGAATACTCCTCCTGTAAAGGGACATGCCCGATTAAACCCTAGCCCGAGCTGCCCCCAGCTTCTCTGGGCCTCGTGAGGGCTGCTCTGGAGGCTGTGGGGGCCTCCTTGGAAATTCTGGGGGCACCTTGGGCAAAGGGCACTTGTATCAACACCCGAAAGAAGGCCGCCGTTGTGTCGGCTGGGCGTCCTCCGAGCTGGAGCGGAGGCCGGGCCGGCCAGGCGGCGGGCCGCCGTCCTTGAGGAGCAACGTTGGGGGGGGGCTCGGGGGAGGGGGGGTGGAACATCGACCTGGAATCGGCTGTGCATCGCCGGTAGATCGGCGGTGGACCCCCGACCCAGACACCCTCGCGTTGTGCAAAAATCACGACGGGAGGTTTTCGCTATTCTCGGCCGCTGGGGGCCCTTGCTGGGCCTCGGGACCATCAAAAAACGACTCAGAATGAAAGACGGGTCCCGGGGAAGAAGTCGAGACCTCTGCGGGTCGACGTTGCGAACAAAAATCACGACGTCCGGGGTATGGGGAGAGCGAAACCGCGCGCTCCTGGGCGGGATGGGCTGTCGGGTCCCTGCTGCGGCGATGAATGGGCAATTGCGGGCCGATGCACCCCGCCCCCCTGAGCATCTCCCACCCAAACGTTGCCCCTGAGTCCTGAGGTGGGCTGGCCCCCTTGGCGGCGCGCACAGGGGGGCAGCGGAGAGGGGGGAAGGCTTCTTGGAAGGAGGCTGCTTCTCAGAAGGCACTGGCCCTACGTCTGCAGACAAGGCCCGCGCCTTCTAAGCAGCAGGGGGGCTTGTAAGGTTGGCTACGCGCAAGGGTGACCCTGGGTAAGAGTGACCTTTGGTGCGCGGCTTTTTGGGGGCCGCGGGGGGGCCGAACACAAGCGCGCCAGACGCTACTGTCGCATCGCGTTCGGCGATCGGGGGACCCCAATGGACCCGCACCAGAGGTCACTCTGGCGAAGGGTCACTCTTACGCGCAGTCGATAAGATAGGGAAACGAAATCTATACACCGACGCTTTTTCCGGCCCTGCACTGATAGCTGCACAGGAAAGCGGATCCTGGTGTATACGGGATCCTGGTGTATACATGTTTCGTTGTTTCCCCGGGATAGCGGGGACAAAAAAACATACACCACACCAATCCGACGTCGCCCCCGACCCTCGGAAGTCCTGGGATTCAGAAACAGCCCGCCACTGGCAGTGTACATGCTCCAGCTTCTGATTAAAAAGCCTTCCCCCGTCCCCCTGCCCCTTACCGTCGCTCGGACGTCCATGTCCCGTGCAGCTTTCGGCTTCGCGCGTGTTTTGTTTGTTGCTCGATGGTCCAGGGTGGTCCTCGATGGTTCTCGCCGAGGGAAAAACGCACACCTCCGAGCGACGCCAGGACCCCCCTCTGCTCGCCGCCGACCTCCTCCCCGTCGTCCTCGGAGCCCTCGCCCGGGCCCTCCTCGGCGACCGCGGCCTCCCGCTGCTGGTCCAGCAGGAGCCGCAGGGGCTGCTGCAGCGACCTGGTGAGCGTCGCGCGGCCCCGCGCGCCCTGCGCCCACTCCCGCGGCCCGGGCTCGACGGGCGGCGCCCACGCCTCCGACGAGCCACAGAAAACTGCACGGGCTGAAACGTTCGGAGGTCCGCGCGGATTTTTCGCCTCGATCCTCGATCCTCCTCCTCCTCCTCCTCCTCCTCCTCCTCCTCCTCCTCCTCCTCCTCCTCCTCCTCCTCCATCCCACTTCCTTACAAAAAACTTCTCCCTGTCGCACCCCGAGGCTGGTCGAAAGGGCGGGCCGAGCGTTTCGCCTGAAACTTCCTCACCATTTATGACCCTGAAGCTAAAGCATTGACAACAGCTTCACAGATGGAGGGCGGGTCGTATTCAAAATGCGGCTCTCGCTTTAGCACCGCTCACATTCGTTTAAATATTTGCACGAGCTTCACGGATTGAGGACGGGCCGTGTTCAAAATGTGGCTCTCGCCTTCGCGCCGCGCACTTGTAAAAAACTGCAAGAGCTTCACGGATTAAGGGCGGTTCCTTGTCAAAAGGTGGCTCTCGCCTTAGCGCCGCGCGCATTCCTTTCAAACAGGATTGCAAGAGTTTCACGGAGTCCCATGGTCAACGTACCAGAAATGGTGTTT